TCCTTCAGAGAAACATGGAAGGCTGCCAGATGTGTAGACATGTGGGAACTGGCTCAGAAGACCCTATTGAGATATCCTATTGAGGTATCTGACCCCTTCCCGCTTGGCTAAAATGTCCCCATCTTCCACTGCGCTGTGTTGGAGAGGCTGTGCTCTCACGGGCACATTAATGCACACCTACTGGTCCTGCAAATCCCTCACTAGCTTTTGGAAGAAGATCTTCCAGATCTTGTCGGCTGTAACGGGCCTCTCTGTGGATCCCACGCCGGGCTTAGCCCTCCTTCATGTAGGCATAGATCAATACCCCAATAACCTTAGGGCTATTGTGATCCACGTCCTCCTAGCAGCCAAACTTACAATAGCAAGACACTGGAAAAGCCCACAGGCAGCCAACTCATCTGAAACTATGCAGATAATGCAAATACATTACACTTACGAACGAGTGTTTGCGAATCGAAATAGCTCAACAGGGAGCTTCCAAAAGAAATGGCAGCCCTGGTGTCTGTGGTCTCAGCGAAATACACCCGCCACATGATGTTCACTAGCGATGATTTATGAGAATTTGTGTTGCTATGCACGTGGAACCCCTCGGTTCCACGGATGTAGACATTCTTTAATTAGCAGTGTACCTGCATCTTTGCCTGTTTCTCATTTCGTTCTGTTGCTCCTACCCGGACTTTCTTGGTTTTTTGAATATTCTTTACTCGCTTTGTATAATTGAAAATGCTCAAATAAAAACCTATTGATATTTAAAATAACCATCATGTCCATTGAGCTGGGGTCTTCTCCACCCCACCACACATGTGTGGTGTGAACAGTTGTTTTCTGTGTACCCTGCTCTCATCAAACATGTGTGCTACTTTGTAAAAATGCAGCACAACTGACAGGGTGTGAATAAGCCCTATTTTCGATGACCAAAACTTCTACAACATAGGCTATTTGTCCTGATGCCTGTGATTTAAATGACATTGCTTATACACCTATGAAAGTTTGCTTAAAGTCCCATTTGCCCAAGTCATTTTGTTATTTCCCAGGCGGTGGAACAATAATTGACTTGTACACTTGTTTAGCAATTCAGTTTCCGTACATTTGAAAATAAAATGGAAAAAATACTCTTTCTGGCCAAAGAGTTTAAATCAAAGTTGAAGTGTGAATCTACTATGTAGCTTATTTAGACAAACCGAGAGTTTAGCAAAGTACATTTGACAAGGTAGATAGGTTAATCAGGTTGTGTTAAGGGCTGCAATATTTTGCTAAAGTTAGCAATGTTAACTTCTTATGAATGGCCATAACAATAATGGAAAAGCATACAAAAATATTAAATGACATTGAATTAACTTATACCTGATGGCATCGTGACTTTTCAGGTGGATTGTATGTGTGTTTGAATTTACTTGGGGAACGTCCATAATCTTTGCCTTTAGTACTAACCTAGAGGGCTAGTTGATGCATTAAATAAAATGTGATGGGCAATGATAAATGTCTATTGGCTATGGAGTCCTTCCAAAACCTGCTGTCCGTCACAAGGGAGGAGGACTTGATGAGAAACTAGTCTGACAGAGCTCCTTGTCAGGCCATGCCCACTTTTAGCTGATTGTAAACAAAGGAGTGGGTATACCCAGTGATGTCATTGACCAAAATGGACATGCCTGGTTTTGATTACCAGCTATACTCCCACCCCCTTTGTTTATATTTTTGCTGTGGGGCCCAGAGCTGTCAATTAGCACCAGTCTCCTGTCGGGTGTGGACGTGTCACATGGTTGGTGGGCCTGCTCTTTTGACCACCAGAGGCTGTTGTTCACTGTGATTGATGAGGATCTACATCACCGGATGACGTGATTGATGATGGACGTGCAACAGTGAACATTTTTAGTGTTATTTACACTTTTATATTTTTTTGGTGAATGAGTAGGGGTACTTTGTACCTCTTATTCATTCACATAGGGGAGTTTTGACTTACAAACATAAATTGGAAGAGCTCTGTCATTTAGTGGTGGTATTGATACTGCCATTAGATGACAGATCCCTGGTTGCTATTTGTACACAAAATCACTTTTAAAAGTGTACATTGTACTGCTCTGAAATTTCACTTGCAGGTTTCAATCATCTCTGTGTGTATGCAATGTTGTCTTTTAAGCTTCATAAAAGACCCTCTCCCCTCTGAAAGGTAATTTTTTTTACATTTTAAATTGGTACATGTCACCCATGGCAGTCCACAGTTATCTATGCCCTTTTTTTACCAAACGCTTGCAAATTAGCCCTGAAAATGGGCAAATGAAACAACAAGTTTGGTCCCCCATAGTCTTCAATAGGGATTTTGAAACATCCAGCAAACCAAACTTTGCCTGCTTTGCTCATTACTAGCAATGCACCCCAAAGGCAAGTTGAACACCAATATGTAGAAACCCTGGAACCCGATTATACATATATATAGCTCTGGCATATACCGCATCGCTGTACAGAGAAAACTGAGCCAATCAGCAGTGGAAGCAAAAAAAAAACTGTGGTGTGCAACATAGTGAATTGTAAAATGTAAAATAATACAGCAATCTAAGGAGAATGGCACCGGCTATAGAGGACTACAAATCCCAGCAATAATACATTATACAGCACAATGCAGAATATACCATTAGCATCCCCCACAGTCACACCAGTCTCTGTACAGAGAAGCTCACACTCTAATGCCCCCCCACATTTACATTACCCGCTGGACGCAGGGCTTCGTGACCCGCTGGACACTAGACAAAATTGTTTCGTTTCATCTTGTTTTGATTCGGATTTTTCGTTATTTCATTTCGGGATTCAGACGAAATTCGTTAGTCTGTACGAATGTTTATTTCCGTTTCATGTTCGTATCGTTCATTTCATTAAATTCTTTTTTTTAAATGTCACTTTGCTGCAATGAAAATTCGTCCACAAACGAAAATGCGTACAGACTACCGCTAACGAATTTAGTCCGAAAAACTAATTTTTCCGAAACACATGTCTACTGGACACGGGGCTTAGGGTTAGTTCACACCATAAGCAGTGCATTCCTGTTCGATTCTGGCCAGAATGCACTGCCCGCATTGAGGCCGGCTCACTTTTTTGTCAGGCAGGAGGGGGCGTGGTGGTCCATTGAAGTGAATGGCACCGTAGCCACGCCCTGATGCCGCAATGCGATTGCCCGCACAGGATTGCAAGGCACAATGTGTCTGCAGTGCGTTCGGGTGCGGGCCATTGCAGTGGGTTCGGGTGCGGGCCATTGGCTGCTAGGGCCTGGCCGCCTCCTCACCCTTGGCTGCCCAGGCCCCTTACATGAGTATCGGTCGTACCCCCCTGACGGCGGCCCTGGGTGTGAGACCTAGAGATAGACCATGGATAAAGAAATGCCTTGTGCCCCTAAATTTCCCTTCTATTCCTGTTCTGGTGGCTACCTAAATTCTTGTATTTACCCTGAGTTTTGCTTTTGGAATACTTTAAGACATTCAAAGGACATTTGCTTCAGCTACATCTTGTTTTGTCCTTTTTTGTCCTAGATTTGCCCTTTAGCCCCTACATCACAAACAATCATATTTGGGTAAACAGCTAATAATTCTTCTGGGCTAATTGCCCATTCAATCTTTAATAGATGCCTATGTTTTTTTTCCTGTTTAATTAGAGTATAGGGCTGGTGTAGATTGTGTACCATGCAACACAAACAGAGCAGAAAACAGTGCCCTGGCCTCATGAAACAGGTTCATATAATTATTGTAAAAAAGAGAAAGTGAATGGCTGCTTGCAAACATTAACAGAGTTATTCACAAAAGGGTGAAGATTTTGGAGAAGGCAGGAAAAGTGAACAATCTAGGACAACATAGCTGAACTGGAAAGTGAGCTGAATTGGAGAATGTTTCCAAATCAACTATTTTATCCTAGATTGTGAATAACCCTGTGTATGACATATTAGCATAAAAAATCCATATGACACGCCATCAGAGTTCAAGCCTGAGAAACTAAGGAGGTTATTCACAAAGCTGTTGAAGGCAGCCAAGTGAATAACCTAGCCGAAGTGAAGTCAGCCGAACAACTTTCGGCTATTCACTCCGGCTCAGTACAGCTGATTTCAGCCGTGCACCGGCTAAAATCAGCCATACATCGGCTGCCTTTGGTCAGCCGAAGATGCTCTGAAGTGCAGAAGGATTTCGGCTCAGCTAATCCAACATCTGGAACGGCTGAGCCGAAGCTCCGGTAGCTCACTCGCTGCCGTTCGCCCTTATTCTCATAGGGGCCGAACGGCAGTGAGTGAATAGCATTCGGCTAGGCTCGGTACCTCAGTGGTACAGAGCTGAATAGCAAATAAGTGAAAATAATGTACATTTTTTTTAGCAAAATGATATTAACAATGTAAAAAAATAGGAAGATAAAAAAAAATATATACAGTATATAACAGAAATTTAAAACAAAAACAAAAAAATGGGTGGAGCCATCAGTGACAGCCCTGCTTTGGCTGTCACTTCAGCCCAGTCGAGCCGAAGCATATGCCTTCGGCTCGGCTGAGCCGCTTGGGCTGCCTTCGGCTGCTGTATTGTGAATAGCCCGTGCACCAGCCCTTCGGTTCGAGTGAACCGAAGGGCTCCAGCGGCCAAAGAGAGCGGAAGGATCAGCAGAAGCTACGGCTGGATTCTTCGGCTCTTTAGTGAATAACCCTGAGTCTCAGTTGTCCACATACAGCAGTGGACAGTGGCAGCTAATATTTTCCTGGGGTCCCGTCCCCCTTCATCCCACCTTAAAATAATGAAAACAAAAATGCTAAGGCTTATAGTACTGCATTAAAACACATATTCCTATGATTTATAATATACAGTATTTTTCACACTAAATGTTTCCTAATTAATATATTGAAATTAAATTATGATTAACATGTTATAATTGTTCAAAAATAAAAGTTCCATTTGCTCTTTAACAATAAAGAGAAATGACAATTTAATGTTTTTAGTTGAAGTAGAATTCATTAGAAAATAATATTTACCATTTCTTACCTAGAAAAAATAGAAACATCCTTCCAGTATATCGAGAAAGTTTCCCAAATAGCAAAGAGCAGACTGCATTGACTGCTGCAAAGCAGATCATTACATATCCAACAAAATGTATCCCAAGAGAACAGGTAACATAAGACTAAAAAAGAAAAGAAAAAAATACAGTTTGCCAAACATATAACATACATTTTTTGTTTGAGCTCCCAACCCTTTTGTTATTAGACAAAATAAAAACAGCCAAGCAACTGGGCAGCCAGGGGAACCAAAAGAAGATTTGTTTACATTTCAGGTCTATATATCTATTCACAGTTTACATCACAAGAGGACAATGCGGTGTGAGAGAGGTTTTTTGTTTTTTTAATAAAATTAATTTTACACTGACCAAATTTCGAACGTTTTTTTAATGTACCGGCCGAAATTCGTGTGTGGGGCTGTCGACTCACTTTCAGCAACCATTCCTCGATCAGCTGAAGGAGCCGGCTGGAAAATCTTTGTTGACTAAACAAATCAATTAATAGTGTCCCAGACATTATTAGTGGGTCAAACTAAAGCTTTTTTGATAGATGGCAAAGATATTTTGAACATCCTTGAGAGCTTCAGGGGAAGTGACAATACCCTATTAGCCACCATTGATGCAGCTTAGCTATATACTGTAATTCCACATCAAAAAGGTCTAGAAGCAGTTAATTGGATGTTTGGCCAATTATCTGACTATAAGAAGGAACAAAAAGAGTTAATCTTAGACTGTATACATTATGCGATGTCCAGGAATTTCTTCTGGTACAAAAACGACTATTATCTCCAGGAGAAAGGAGTGGCGATGGGCGTGAAATTTCCACCTAGTTTGGCTAATCTTTATATGTCGAAGTGGGAGGATGAGTATATTTTTGAGAAAGATGTCCCAAATATTAAATTATGGAAACGCTTTATAGATGATGTGATAGTTATATGAGAGGTTGATTTACATTTCCTCCAATTGTTCATTGAATCTTTGAATCTTAATGAATATAACCTCTCCTTCATGAGTAATATTGGTATGGATAATATTCAATTTCTAGATTTAGATATCTCAAAGAAAGGGGAAATAATTGATACCAGAGCATACTTTAAACCGACAGATAAGAATGGCTATATTCCCACATTTAGTTGCCATCATCCACAGTGGCTCAATGGGATCCCCCAACTCGTATTAGGCGGAATTGTACTATGGAAGAAGACTTCCATAGACAATCAGAACTTCTGTTGGATAGATTTAAGGAAAAAGGCTATAGAGATAATGATCTCAAGTGGGTTCAAGAGAAGGTCTGTAAGAAAGATAGGTCAAAACTATTGGGGCCCTCTACTAGAATCAAAGAACCTCCCCCTCTGACCTTTATTACCAACTATTCAGCTCAGTATAAGAAACTAGAGTCAATTTAAAAAAAACATTGGCATATATTAAAAAGGGACAAAATTATTGGTCCGATCCTACCGAGCAAACCTAAAATAATATATTAAAGAGCAATTAACCTAAAAACCAGATTGGCTAAAAGTATCCTGGATCCACCTGAGCGTAAGGTTACGTTCTTTGAGGGAAAGGGTTTTTATCCGTGGAAATAGTGTGTAAGTTGTAGAACGATAGAAGTCAGAAAGAAAATAACTTTCTTTATATCAAACACTAACAATAGAAAATATGAAATAAAGAAATGTATTTCATGTCACAGTAAGTTTGTCACATATTTATTGGAATGCCCCTGTGGATTACAGTATGTAGGTAGGACTACCAGGGAGCTCAAAAAAAGACTGGAGGAGCATGTGAATAACATTAAAAATGGTTTTAATAAACACAGTCTGTCCAGACATTATAGAATTTTCCATAACAGCGATCCTAAACATTTAAAAATAGTAGGGATTGATAAAGTAGAAAAAAACTGACCTCATTCGGAAAGTTTCCAAAAATGAATCAAAATGGATCTTTTTGTTAGATACCATGGCTCCAAAGGGACCTAATATTGACTTTGACCTTTAACTGTTTTCTAAGTAATACATTAAGACTATGAAGTGGGTTTTAACCACTTGAAGTCCGGGGTGTTAAACCCCCTTCCTGTCCAGCCATTTTTCAGTATTCAGCGCTGCGGTACTTTGACTGACATTTATTCCGTCATGCAACACTGTATTGAAATGAATTTTATACCATTTTTTAGGGACACATAGAGCTTTCTTTTGGTGGTATTTAATCACTGCTGGGGTTTTTATTTTTTTATATATTAAGGAAAAATTACCGAATTTAAAAAAAAAAAAACTGTTTCCCCTATATTAAATGATAAAACATTTATTATTACCAAATTTTTTGCTAAAATATAAGAGACGGGGTCACGACAGGTAAATAGACACCAAACATGTCAAGCCTTAAAATTGCGCGTGCGCGCGAAACCTCAAAAAACTACAATACCAAAAATTGGCCATGGCGACGCTTTAAAAGCTTTTACCGCTCAGCAGTTTAGTGTTATCAGTGATTGATGGCCCTAAAATGATTGCTCTCACTCCGACGTTCGCGACGATATGTAACATGTGTAGCGCAATTGTCATTTCCGCACGCTGGCACATCGAATGCGTATTTATGTTTATATGTGTGTAAATGTGGGGGACTTTTTTATATGTGACTTTTATTTCTTTTTACTTTTTTTTTTTTTTTACACTTATCGGTATTGCTATTATATAGCAGGATAACAATCCCCCTA